CGTGAGAAAAAAAAGCAAAACATTTCCGCAAAAAATTTATAATTTTTTTATGAACCCGATAAGAAAATTATATTAAACAACAATTAATTCGAATTTTATGAATTTGTTACAAAGATCTTGTAGAACGGTGGCTACTGTGACTTTTATGAAATCGTTTAAAGCATATTGTAAAGCAACAGTTTATTATAGTTAACTGTCATCTACCACATATTTTTGACGATTTAATAAAAACAAATTACAAATTTTATTATGTGAGTCTTTCTCTTGTTTCGCGTCTCACTTTGACTTACCAATGTGTAACAGACATGAATCATGCACTGTTCGAAAAAAATTTCCCATCAACTAATAAAATAAAATTCTTTTCAGAACCTATTTATGGAAGAAATATTAAGATTGGCATATCGTGCAATCCTGTTTGATAGAAATAAGTGCAGACTCGTTTTAAAGATGCTTCTGTTTTCTGTTACATGGTTTCAATTATAAACATTTTATAAAAATAAGTTATATACGATTCGAAAGAGAAGACAAAGTTCTATCTTTTGATTAAAAAAGTTTTCGTTCAGCTATCTACTATCGAAGAAAATAGGGATCGACATTTTGCACGATTACATTTGTAACGTACGTAATCTGGTACGATAGTAAGCAAAATCGAGGCACTACAATGTCCACTTGTGTCCACTATGAAATGCAAAATTCATAGCTTGACAAGACAGACGGACAAAATTCTCAGAGAAATCAGCTCATTGTTTGATTTTAAGTTCAACTTGCATTAAAAGATTACTTAAAGCAAGAAAATAAGAGAAATAACATTTGATTCTATTGATCGCCAATATTATTTGTTCTATCATAACATTCGTGTGTATGAAATTTATTTTTAAATACATGAGCGTCAAACAAAGGGTGTGGGTGCAGATGTTCGTCTGATCATGAACTTATAACTCAAACTCACTAGCGTGCTTCACATCTCGTCTGTGCCTAGACTCTCAAGCTGGGCATCTTCCTGAAAGTAAGATAGAGTCTCTTGCTTTCGACAGCGTCCACGGTAAACATACCCAAGATTGCTGAGTATGCTGACCACCAAAAAAGGATCGACTACTATTGCACTGCCGTGGTTTGATTCCGAGCGCATTCTATAAGTGATCAAGAGTTTGATCGTAGTAAAGTATACTATTGTACATGTGGCCCAACTTGGAATGAACAGAGATGAAAAAGTGGTGACTAGGAGGCATACATCTCTCTTTGATCGAGAGAGTATTTTCAAAATGGATAAGAGCTTCTTTGCATCGATCCAACTGCCAGAAAATGTTACCCAGACTGGTTGCTATGCAGGTACGTGTTGAATTATTCTCTGGCACAAAGCATATGCTTTTTTCAAATGCTTCAGAGACGTATGCAGCTTTCCCATTGCGCTCAAACAAGCAGCCAGATTGATGTTGCCTTCGATTAACATACATATGATGTTCAACCAAGAAAAAAGTTTCTCGAAATTTGAGTAGTTTCGAAAATTCACTCGTATCTATGTCATAGTGGCCAGTTTCAAAATGCATTGTGGCTGGATTGCTAACTGTTATAGATAGGAGAAAGCTAGTTTTGGTATTGCTGGGTATGTGCTCTTTCACAACTTGCACATAGTAAGTGTAGCAAGACGATTGAAATAGCTTGCTTGAAGCTCGTCCAGCAGCAAAATGCAGTGCTGTTCGGCATGATTACAATCATTCATCATAACGAGAACAGAAGTCAACGAGGTAAGCGAGCTGTGTCTTACCAATTTCACATTTTCAATTATCCAGAAATCCAGTCAACTATTGTTCGTCTCGCTCGTCAATCAAGCGAATTTTAACTTGTCAATACTTGTCGAATTTATCGTTCTGCTCACTACCTCCTAGAATGTGAAAGACGACATCAACGGAGAAGGAAAACTCTTCTTCGCTCAGAAGAACGTGTATTCACCAACGTTGGAGCAGGGTGTGACCCTTATTGTTGTATCGACCTTCCCTTTGTAGATGATAGAAATAAGATGGGACGGACTCAAAGCAGTTTCGTCCGCATAGTGTCAAGCCAACGTCTTACTGGATCCGGCAGAAAAAAATAAGTACACCGAGAGAAGGGTACGAAGTGTTGATGAAGAGAACACTGACTCCACATCTTAAAATCACAAAAATCAGTTAAACTCATTTTAAGTTACGAAATCACAGATCTTTATTTCCCCCTTAATATGAGTGTGGGTGTAGATATGGATGCTGGTGCGTGGATGTTGCTATGTATGTATATCTTACCTTTGTCGGATCCGCACCGACTTTAAAACCCACAAACCCACGTCCACCCCGCCAATACCCACACCTCATATGCAAAATTGACGATCCATGAAAAATAAGCAAGATACATGTATACTTCAGCAGATTGAACCAACGCTTGCAATGACAGATGTACCATGCAAAAGCAGAATGTACAGAACATTTGCTGTTTTTTATGTACACTATGTTTTACAATTTGTCCTGGAAATCAAAGTGAACGTCGTACACTTTGTTTAAGAAAATTACATATCGATACGACCACATGAAAAGTGTTAGTAGTATATAGTATCAAATAAAACATTGCTTTTAGATGATAGTGGATTAACCTCTTTCAGTTGACTGTATCATTAGATATAGCGCCTCTCGATTCTTGGTTATCGTTCATTTTCTCTCTCTCGTTTTTTTTATAAACACGCCAGATGATGCAATAGTACTCGTATTTATCACGTATTCGTTTGTTTAGTATCAATTTATATTTCTCACGCAAGAAAAAAGATGAACATTATATTTTAGATTTTAGATTTAAAAAGAATTGATTTTTGTGCATTTTGCTGACGAAAACAGATTGTACAAGAACATATTGATTTGGATTTCCATTGCAAGCATTAGATGGAACAGACGATCACAATGTCACTTTCTCTTGAATCTATTGCCATTGTAATCGAGCGCTATCACCAGACTGAGCACGTGTATTTCTTCACAGGATAGATGTCACGATATTAAATCTCTGGTTTTTATCTGTCAGAATGACTTGATTTCGAAATTGACATGCGTTTGTGGCGAACTATTTTTGTGGAAAGTTTAACTTCATAAAAATGAGTTTCATTTGAATGCATTAGTAGATCTCCATGTTCACATTAATTCATTCGATATTTCATACGTATGTACGTCCATAGACTAAACACGATATTTGAATCGAATTCACAATAACTGTTCCATTGTCGCGGAGAACAATTATTGGTTGATGATAAAATAAGGATTCGTATTTCCATTGGTTCACCATTTCTATATGAAGTGAGTAATATTTCTTTGGTTCGCGTGTTTAGCTTCATTCATACGACCAAGAATTTTTCAGTTTCTTTTTTGTTGTGATAGTTTTTTTGGACACACTGAATATTAGTTGCTATTTATCGTTATACAGTTCGATAACACACGAATGTTTGGAAGTATATATGATGAAGAGAGATTTTCAGAATGGTATGTCATTGTTTTAAATAATCATCGTGCACTTGTTGAAATGATATTGATTTCTTCAAATTTAATTTCTACTAATTTATTCCAATAAGTATGTATAAAAACTAAATAATATATCACTAAATCAGACATGTAACGGCTTCTGAAATTATTCGATTAGATTTATTTTCAATTTCAATTCGTTGTCATAAAAACTAAACGAATTCAATAAGTGTTCTGCTTCGATAATTTTAGTTCTAGCAAGATTTTTTTGAAAATAAATATTAACAATTTTTCTACGAGACGGTTTCTGAAAAAATGGAAAATCAAGTTTTCTAGCTGCTATATTGAAAACGACTTTATATCTTCTCTAAAATTGATATCTTTTAGTTACAAAAATACATCAAGAACTCAAATATATGTTTTTTTTCCATTGAAAATGACTTGCTCTATGATTCACGAGTACTCGAATGAAATTGCGATAGTAAATTGTATAAGCTGAAACAAATTATTCTTTTCTTTTGTTTTACCGAAAACTTTCCTTCGAAAAACTATATCAATCATTGTTATCGTCATAGTATTGGCAACAATGGAAATAATTACGGTTAAATAATTTTCGAAGCCACTATAGATATATATATGAGCGAATCGTATTTTTGTTGTACATTTGGCAAAAAAAAAAATGAAAGTGTATTGAGCAGAATTTTAAGACGTGCATATTATTCAGCATCATTTACTTAGTATAAGGTGAAATTTTCCCAACTACCACATGCCAAGAAGCCGAGATATTTCTGGATCCATATATATTAAGATAGTTCCAATATTGTCAATGTTAACAGGTTTTCGTTTTATTTCTATCAAAACGCTTTTTTCTGCTCATCACGGGTATTCTAATAACTTGGAATGAATAGGTCATCAATTAGGAGACAATGAGTATTGGTTGTTTGTATTTCATCAATAATATAATATCGTAATTCATGAGGCTATAGTTAAGTGTCTATTTAAGTCAGTCAATGCCGAAAAACTCGTAAAAAGCGTTTCTCTACATAAAAACAAAAAAAAATGTTACTCTACATTTCGTCGTATAATGGAAAGTTTTTTAGGAAGAATTAATTGAATCACGCTGAAATTTTTATCAAAGGTACAAGTTTTTATGCTCTCTCTTATGTGCAAATTTCAGCGAGATCGTTTCGATCTATCTGGAGATAGACCGAAAA